AAATCTAACAATACATTAGCATAGAAATTAAATTATAATATAGCTACAAACAATAAGTTTGCACAATGTAGTATAGTGACAATATAGTTGATTAAACTATATAACTATATAATTAACACTGGAGTGTCTTAACATTATATTTAACTACACAAATTACACAACATTCAATTCAAAAAAACATATTGGCGTCAATATAATAATTGGCATTAAGCTAATTATAAGATTACAACAATACATAAATTAACAAATTAAATATTTAAAATGTATAAATGATTTGTCACTTACCCCAAGTATGACTCTAGAATAGTAGTATCTGTCAATTAAAAATGCCATATAAAAATGTACAAAGAGAAACGCATTGATGCCGAGCCACACAAGCTGAAAAACAGAACGGAGAGCGTTTAAGAAATGTTGTGATTAAAAGTAATATTAATAATATCTAATAGTATAACAATAATAGTATCTGTTTTTCAGTATGTTTAACAAATAATTGTGCTAAAGAAAAACACACAAAAAACAAGTAATTAAAAACATGAAGAATCCAAATATTATAAAATATGTTTAAAAAGTGAATTTAAATAAGAAACCAATCCTAAAATCCTAATTCCAATAGCTTACGATAACAAAAATGGATAGTCCTTCATTTGCAGCGAAGTTTCCCATGATGTTGAGATGTGTAGTAAGAGAGGATCAAGAGAGAACTTGAAGAAAGACACAAGAAAAATGGGGATTTTGTATATAAAGCATAAAGCAAGTCAGGAAATGTCATCACAAATCAGAAACCACCAAGCGAAGTTCCTCAACCCTAAGGGATGGATGATCAGGTGAACTCTCACTTCTCTTTCTGGTTTATAGTTCAGCCTGCATTTTACTCTTTAATATAATGTTAGTGTCAAAACTGTTATGGTTATATGATTTAAATCATTTTTCTACAATTGTTACAGTCTTTCGTTAAATTGGTTTTAATTGAATTGAACTTTGTCCCCACAGACAGATAGACAAAAAAAATCAATAAACTGATGTCCTTTCAAGGACAAAATATCATTCTCCTTTATTTATTTTATTATGGGTTTAGCTGACAGTTGCCCATCTCAAAAGCAGTGATGTGATGTGCTATACAGTGCTTATAGACATGTTTTTGAGGGAGTTTCCAGATGCATCCCTGACTGCAGTCTTGCTAAATCAATTAACTCGTTCATTCAACACCCCACAGGGGGCAGTAAAGTTAATATACAATCATCTACTGCCCTCTATGCAAATAATGACATTTTATACTTTTTGTAGGAAAAAATAAGAACAATGTGCAAAAGGTCCCAGATGAGATGAGTTCAAAATAGGAGTGTAAACAAAGTAACAAAAAATCAATTAAATTATTCTTTGCAGGATTACGAAGGATTATGAAGGTGCTGGCCTGTAACCCAACTGTAATCTTTACTATTCATAAATCCTTACAATCTGAAAGCATTTAGGCAGTTACTTGAATTTAGGCCATATGTTGTTGTAAGATAGGTAACACAATCAGAATTAATTTAACAGTCTCACTATTTTTTGTTTTTTTAAGTTATATAATGATAACAATATTTGAAGCATAAAATGAGTATTAAGAAGTACTAATAATAAACCTGAGAGGTTGTCAAGAAAGCAATGCCCTTAAAGTGATGGAAAAAAAAAATCAACAAAAAGCATAATCTTTTAAATAAATCTGCTGTAAATAATGCAGACACTGAGAGAGATTAGAAGCTATAACATTAATCAAACCGACACCGAACAAGGGACAGAGCGCTCCCACATCACATGACGAAAGCAGCGGTTTCATCGTATTAGGGATATTCACATGCACTTCAGTGGACCATGCTGGCTCATATGCTTTGTAAACAAAAAAAAAAGAAAATGTATATTCATCTGAAAGTTCAACAAACGTTGCCTCCATCGTTGCCCCCAGGCAGAAATCCATCATTTTAATTTCAGTTTTCCCTTTTTGATCCGTAAAGGGCACTTAATGACAATGTTTATTAAGGAATAGTTCACCCACAAATGAAAATTCTGTCATTATGTAGACTTTATCATTGATTTAATCATCAAAAGGTTTCTGTCCCTCTGTTGAAAGTCTAAATAACCAAAACTTAAAGGGTTAGTTCACCCAAAAATAAAAATTCTGTCAGTATTTACTCACCCTCATGTTGTTCCAAATCTCTATGTGTTTATTTGTTCTGCTGAACACAAAGGAAGATATTTGGAAGAATGTTTTAATCAAACAGATCTCATTCCCCATTGACTACCATAGTAGGAAAAAAATACATACTATGGTAGTCAATGGGGAATGAGATCTGTTTGATTAAAACATTCTTCCAAATATCTTCCTTTGTGTTCAGCAGAACAAATAAACACATAGAGGTTTGGAACAACATGAGGGTGAGTAAATACTGACAGAATTTTCATTTTTGGGTGAACTATCCCTTTAAATGATCCAAAAAGGTCATAAAGGCATCATAAAAGAAATAAATCCATATCAATCAAAACATTTAATCAAAGTCTTGTGTAATAAAGATGTAAATAAAAGCGATTGTATCTCTTACAATGATCTTCACACACTGAACATATAAACACAGAAGCTTTGTACATGAATCACATGCTTCATACACTCCCAAGAACCAATGAGATTTCTTCTAACCATATGTGATGCGCTCTCTAACTGTGTTCAAATGTGAATAAACGCCTACATCATTTTAACAAGACCTGGATTAAACCACTCGATTCAAGTGGATTCGTTTTACGGCCATTTTGGATGTTCTATGTTTTGGTTAGAAGAAGGACAGAAACCTCTCAGGTTTCATTATATATATATATATATATATATATATATATATATATATAATCAGGAGAGTATATGATGACACAATTGAAATTTTTGGGTGAACTATCCCTTTAAGTTGTGCTTTTCTCACACGGCGCCGCACAAACTCTGCCCGATGTCCCGTTTGGTAACGCAGGGTGAATCGTCTCCATTGTCTTTCCCTGGTGGTTTGATCCTTATGGAGCCCGGCTGGGGAAGAGTCCCACGTAGCAGGCAGAGAGATCCACAGCACTCCCAAAAGCCCTGGGCTGGACTGGATGAGAACAGTTGCCTGCAAGGGTGGCAGAACTGGTAAAAGAGTAACATAAAAAACACAGCTGTGGCGTAACCCAACAACAGCAGTACTTCTAACACGGGAGCATCCACCCATTGGTAGAACTCAGTCCGGTGGACGTACCACATCAAAGTCAGCCCCGTGTTCTCGACAAAACGGAGGGAATAATACACTGCCACCCGCCTCCACGCCTGACCCTTATCGATCAAGTCGGGGTCGTCCAATCTGAGCTGAACAGCGGACCAGCAGAACACGTTGATGCCAGCGTACAGGAAGGTCAGCATGCAGAGGACGATAGTGGTCCCCACACGCGTCAACGTCTTCTCGATGTTCTCTGGGAACGGAGAGCGGCTGCTCCAGAAGAGAACCCACGGACGAAGAAAGAACAGGACGAAGTTGACCGATACTACCGGAAGCACCCACACCTTCAACACTGAGCTGAAGAGGACCAGCACGGTCACGCGCGTGGCGATCTCGAACCCTCGCCACAGGAACACGCACAGGTACGTCAACGGACGCACGGACACTTCGTAATCATCGTAGCGTATCTTTATGGCGAGGATATTGCAGCGTAGGGCTCCATATACAATTGAGAGAAGGGAAATGACCATCAATGTACCTGGTAGGGAGAGGAAAGTAAAAAACATAATCACATAAAATTCAGCAAAAACATAATGTGTGGTTAAAATTAGAAATTGAGCAAAGACCTTGTGTTAGATATGTGGATAGGGAATAAAATAAAATAAAATAAAATGTGAATAGGAAATAAACCACTCTACCATGTAGGGAGGTAAAATAAAATAAAATAATGAATGCATAAATAAATACAATCAACAGAAAATAAATTTAAAAAATAAATACAAAAAATAAAATTCATAACTGAAATAAAAGTAAAAAATAACAATAGACTATAAATATATAAATAAAATTTACACTAAACATATATAGGACTAAATAAATATAAAAATAAAATGAATGCATACATACATATTAAAACAAATAAAGTAATAAAATTAAATTAAATAAAAAATAAAATAAAATACATAACTCAAAGAAAAGAAGAAATAATAATAGACTCTAAATATCTAAATAAATATTAAACTAAACACACACGGTAATAAATAAATATAAAAATAAATCAATGCATAAATAAATATAAAAATCTATAAAAAATAAAGTTAAAAATAAATACAAAAAATAATAAATTAAGGACAAAATTTTATTTAAAATGAATTGCATTTGTTTTATCAATTCATTTATAAATTCATTTTATCTCATATTATTTTATTTATTTATTTATCTTTCATTTTGGCAGGTTTGGGCCTCCATAACTGCGGTGCACAATATGTTGCCATATGGTTACAATAATTTACTATACTGTTAAGTAAGAAAACAATAACAAAAGCAGAAACCCTGAAGGCCTAAATCCACCAGCAGTGCCAACATATGGCCTCTTTCAGCCTTCCATCTGATCTAAAGTCAGTCACCGTTTCATTACTCTATGCCTCATGGGTAATGGGGTCAGACTGATTCACTGTCCATTATGGTCTTCCATCTGCAATACTACTTTCAAGGACAGACTGCAAGGCTGCCAACACATTCCTCATGCAGTGCGGATGACAATATATCTGCGAGACAGAGTCGGGACTCGGGACTATATATATTAATACGGTAGACACAGTGACACAGCTGCCAACAATTTACAGTGGGGTCCAACAGTCCAAAATTGACTTTTGCTTGATTTTGTAATAAAACACACATTTTACATTTTCATTAATTATATTACCAGCATAATATAATAAATGGGGTTGGTACTGTACATTGGTAGTATGTTGTTTACTAACTTTCATGTAAAATCACAAACTGTTCTGTTTACAAAAAATAACAATAGACAAATAAAAAAAATATTGGCTGTAGTGTTCTGTAATGTATATTGTCAGTATACTTAGTTTATAAGCTTTTATGTAAACTTATTTCTATTTATTTCAGCTTTTTATTATCAAATAATAACATAAATTAATTAATCAAATTAAACTTTCTGAATATTTCTGTTTATAGTGAGTACATATAGAGACTTTCAATGTACTGTAGTCTCAGACATACTAAACGTTGGCAGCAGTGTATGAGTTGTTTATTGGTTATTTTCAGGGATTTCCAATTTTCTTTGTTGTGAAGTGCTTCGGGGGATTTAATTAAATAAAGTTGTCCAGTTCATAAATTATTTCTGTCTGTTGAAGCCCAGTCTGAAAACACGCTATCTATTGTAGCTGATATTCTCAAAAACAAAGTGTGCGTCCTTGTGATAACAAGAGGAAAAAGATAAGTACGCCAGCCAAAGTCATTTCAGAGGCATTAGTTGAAACTCAAGCATGTGTGCAGAATGTATCACTGAGAGGAGCGTGTTAAATTTAGATGGGTGACGTGGGGAACAGTTCCACCTTAAAAAGAGAGGACTGAATATGTAACAAAGGCTGTGTACAGACCATACTTGTTGAGCTGAAACATGACATGCCTCAATGACATAAAAAAACAATTGTTCTCCCTGACATCTAACACTTTACAGATGTGGTGGAGAACGACAAAACATATTAACAGTAAAACTCATAAGCTTGAAATGCTCCACAAGGCCAAACAACAGAACGAAAACAAAGCAGGAATAAGTCTTAGTCATGCTCTAGAAACCCTTAAGAAGTCTCATTCTGGAAATGTATTTGTCCAACATTTTGTTTTTTTAAAGTCGGCATGAAATGGTAGTTGCGATCGTCTTCTTTTTTTCTATTGTGACATATAGCCTATCCGAGTGAAGCGGCTCTTCTCAAACTAGAAAAAATGTAGGGTAGGTGCTTGATTTTGTGCATCAGGAATTTATTGGTTGTGGTTTGCTAGTGATCTCATGTGATTGACATGTTGTCCTGCCATCATGCCAGTAAACACATCAACAGAGAAGAGAAGACACGTTGCTGGAAGTTATTTTATACGAGGTTATATACGAGGGCACATAAAAAAAATGATGTGTGCTTCTCACCTCTACCGATAGACACCCCTTTCTGCAGCACACAGATGTAGAGCTGCAGCGTGAGCTGGGGTGCAGAGCCCAGGAATGCCTGTATGACCGAGGTCCTGGCGAAAGCGGCTCTGTGCGTGACTAGCTTTCCTTCCGCCTGGCCCACTTCTTGCTCCACCTCTTCGGTCTGCCCGTCCCGGGGAATCTGCTTCTTACGGGTGATGGTGACATACGGCTCCTCCACCTTTCCAGCGCTGCCATAGATACAGAAGGCATCCAGGCACCTAATGAAATCAAATTCATTTTTAATAAAATCTAAATAGTCATATAACTTTTTAAATTACAATTGAAATAAACAACATGCAATGCCCTTGTTTAATAAAGTATTAAAATAAAATAAAATAAAATAAAATAAAATAAAATACAATAAAATAAAATAAAATAAAATAAAAGAGTTCTGCAACTTTTTAAATTACAGTTGAAAGAAAACATTTATTCCCTTTGGTTATTTTTTTTTTTAATAAAATAAATATATAAAATAACATTGTTCTACACCTTTTAAATTATAGCTGAAAGAAACAACATATAGGGCCTTTGTTTATTTTCATTATTAAAATAAAATTGACAAAACAAAAGCAAAATTGACGAGAAACCTCATCAGCACTGGTTTACCATAATATTTAATAGTGTTATTTACTGTAATTAAACTTGGCAATCCAGAAAAGCTACCCTTTTTCTATTAAGGGGACGCTGGGTTTGCTGCAAATGCCCTATAATTATTCACTCTCAGAAAAAAAGGTACAAAAGCCATCACTGGGGCTGTACCTTTTCAAAAGGGAAAACTTTTGTCCATTTTAGGTGCTAATATGTACATTTAGGTGCTATATGTACATTTAGGTGCTAATATGTACAACCCGAATTCCAGAAAAGTTGGGACGTTTTTTAAATTTGAATAAAATTAAAACTATACGACTTTCAAATCACATGAGCCAATATTTTATTCACAATAGAACATAGATAACATAACAAATGTTTAAACGGAGAAATTGTACACTTTTATCCACTAAATGAGCTCATTTCAAATTTGATGCCTGCTACATGTCTCAAAATAGTTGGGACGGGGACACGTTTACCATGGTGCAACATCTCCTCTTCTTTTCAAAACAGTATGAAGACGTCTGGGCATCGAGTTTATGAGTGTCTGGAGTTTTGGTGTTGGAATTTGGTCCCATTCTTGCCTTATATAGGTTTCCAGCTGCTGAAGTGTTCGTGGTCGCCTTTGACGCATTTTTCGTTTAATGATGCGCCAAATGTTCTCTATAGGTGAAAGATCTGGACTGCAGGCAAGGCCAATTCAGAACCCGGACTCTTCTACGACGAAGCCATGCTGTTGTAATATCTGCAGTATGTGTTTTGCATTGTCCTGCTGAAATACACAAGGCCTTCCCTGAAATAGACGTTGTCTGGAGGGGAGCATATGTTGCTCTAAAACCTTTATATAGCTTTCAGCATTCATAGTGCCTCCCAAAACATGCAAGCTGCCCATACCGTATGCACTTATGCACCCCCATACCATCAGAGATGCTGGCTTTTGAACTGAACGCTGATAACACGATGGAAGGTCTCCCTCTTCTTTTGTCCGGAGGACACGGCGTCCGTGATTTCCAACAAAAATGTCAAATTTGGACTCGTTTGACCATAGAATACTTTTCCACTTTGAAATAGTCCATTTTAAATGAGCCTTGGCCCACAGGACACGACGGCGCTTCTGGACCATGTTCACATATGGCTTCCTTTTTGCATGATAGAGCTTTAGTTGGCATCTGGAGATGGCACGGCGGATTGTGTTTACCGACAGTGGTTTCTGGAAGTATTCCTGGGCCTATTTAGTAATATCATTCACACAATCATGCCGATGAGTGATGCAGTGTAGTCTGAGGGCCCGAAGACCACGGGCATCCAATAAAGGTCTTCGCCTTTGTCCCTTACGCACAGAGATTTCTCCAGTTTCTCTGAATCTTTTGATGATGTTGTGCACTGTAGATGATGAGATTTGCAAAGCCTTTGCAATTTGATGTTGAGGAACACTGTTTTTAAAGTGTTCCACAATCTTTTTACGCACTCTTTCACAGATTGGAGAGCCTCTGCCCATCTTTACTTCTGAGAGACTCTACCTCTCTAAGACATCCCTTTAATCATGTTACAGACCTGATATCAACTTAATTAGTTGCTATAGATGTTCTCCCACCTGAATCCTTTCTAAATTTCTTGCTTTTTCAACCATTTGTTGTCCCCGTCCCAACTATTTTGAGACCTGTAGCAGGCATCAAATTTGAAATGAGCTCATTTAGTGGACTAAAGTGTAAAATTTCTCCATTTAAACATTTGTTATATTATATATGTTCTATTGTGAATAAAATATTTGCTCATGTGATTTGAAAGTCGTATAGTTTTCATTTTATTCAAATTTAAAAAACGTCCCAACTTTTCTGGAATTCGGGTTGTAAATTTTCGGTGCTAATATGTACATTTTAGGTGCTAATATGTACATTTAGGTGCTAATATGTATATTTTATGAGCTAATATGTACATTTGGGTGCTATTATGTACATTTTAGGTGCTAATATGGACATTTTAGGTGCTAATATGTAAATTTTAGGAGCTATTATGTACATTTTAGGTGCTAATGTGTACCATTAAGGTACCAATATATGCACCCTTTAGGTACAAAAATGTACATTTGAAAAGGTACAACCCCAGTGACTGCTTTTGTACCTTTTTTTCTGAGAGTGTTGGATCCTACTTTTATCCATCCACCGTGTCACAGAGTAGACCATGTCAGTGCTCAGAGAAATGCACTCAATCCAATGAAAGCTCACCAGTTTAGTTGTAGCTTACCCGAGGACAGCTATTCTAAGGCCTCAGTGAACAATCTCTCCATCTCATTCATTTAAAATGCAGAGACTAGGTCTCACAGGACAGGTGCCAATCCTTGGGCGAGCATTTCCTATCCCAAACCTTGATGACAACCTTGCCATTTTACAGTAATAGGTTGTAGGCAACCCTGGTGATAATGTGATGAATGAGAGCTTGAAAGATAAGGCCAAGAGAGCCATGCACAACTCAAAGAAAATAAACAACCGAATTAAAAATTAATGACACAGGGCTGAAACTGTGCTGAGCTGCATTATCTGAATGAGCTGGTTGCGTTGCTAAACTGTACTATTAGAGAAATAGAGGCAATATCAATGATTCAATTATGCACATGGCCAGTGCAACAACACACAGATTGATAGAGATGGAACGGTTTTACTGTGAGGACTGGACTGGAATGGAAACTGTCAATAACACCAATAACTATACTTATAGATACAGCTTGTGGCATGGTACAGTTTGGAAACATTACTATTTTTTTTTATGTTTTTGAAAGAAGTCTTTTATGCTCATCAAGCCTATTTGATAAAAAATACAGAACAAATGTAATATTATCACAATGTAAAATAATGGTTTTCCATTTTCCATAATATACTTAAAAATATAATTTACTCCTCCTGTGATGCAAAGCTGAAATTTCATCATCCATTGCTCCAGTATTCAGTGTCACATGGCTCTTCAGAAATAATTATTATAGGCCTATGTGAATTTATTATCAATGGTGGAAACAGTGCTGCTAAATATTTTTTTTTGAGCCTGCGATACTTATTTTCAGGATTCATTGACCAATAAAAAGTTAAAAAGAACAGCATTTATTAAAAACAGAAAGTATAATTTATTATAGGAATATTAGTAATTGGTTCACAAAAAAAATAACCTAACCTAAAATAAAATAACAGGAATCTTATGCTAACATTATAAGAGTGTTTCGTTGTTGCTAGGGTGTTATGTGCCAACCTGCTTATTGTCATGAATTCCCTTGTTCAATTCCATGAAATAAAAAAATCATCATGACATTATCATCTAGGCCTACTGTATTTATAATGGGATGTGTCTCTTATTTTACAGTATACCATTACTTTGTATAGTATAATAATTATACTGGATATTTGTAGAATTATCAACATTAAATTATATTTGCAATAAACACCTGCAATGCCACATGGCCTTGAGGGAAAAAAAAATCTGATAATAAATTGTAAACTAATAACCCTGCAGTACTTATACTTTGAAAAAATATGTCTATGCTATCCAAATATACATTACATTTATTTGTCTAATAGAATGTTAACACCTTTACAAAAATGAGAATAGATTTTAAGGAAAGACCCGGGGACATGAATCCTTGAACCATGAAACCTTTGACATTAATGTGCACCGTGGATTATAGCTAAATTAAACGACAAATATTCATAATATTTATTTATGAATAGGTAAAGCACAGGTTCATCTTGCGCGTGAGAAAAAAAAAGGGGGGGGGGGGCGGTGAAGGGAAGAGAAACACCTTTGCTATGTGCACTCACAGTGGACATTGTTTGTATCCATGTATGTATGTTGATGGGTAGGCTATAATTCCCTCCACAGAGTGCAAGGCTTGTAATGTTAAGTAGAAACACATCCTTGCAGCTACATTAGTATAAGGAGAGTCGCCACTTACCTTATTATTGGTCCTAGTTGTAATATATGAAGCAGCAGTACTAGAGGTCTGTCTCTGCTCAGGTCTCTGTGAATAAAGATAAGTGTGAGCTGCACCAGCACGGATGGCACAAGCGTGAAGAGGAGCGTGAAACACTGCCAAATCTGATCACCCGCGGAGTGGTAAGTGCTGCTCAGATACAGAGCCGCCGTCGTCTCGGCAGTAAACAACGAGACCGACACAAGGACAGAGCTGGGTAGTCTCATCCTCACTCAGCCATGTTTATTTTCTGCTCTCTGATCTCACGAGCCTGCATTTTGAAGTTCCAGTGGACGCATCAACCACCAGCCGCAGATTCACAGCTGATCACCGCGGCGAATAAATATATTACTATTACAAGTATAACCGGTAGAGGGCGCCGTGAGCTCAATATTTACTGCCGTCAGTGTCACTGACAGCAGCGTGTTCATGCAGTTCTCCTACAATGATCAGCAGCAGCATTTAGCTATCTGACATCCTGGGTTGAGCCCATTATAATGCCCATAATGCTAAAATAAAATTCAATCCGGAGTTAGATTTCCATAGGATGGATGGATTAGTACCAACTTGCCACATATTAAAAAGTCAATAGGCCTACTGAATTCAGAACTACACTACTTTTACCATATCTTATCTTTCTGTGACAAAAATAGTAAGAGCAGTATGCGGTTCCAAATTTAGCAATGTTTTTTTGTAAATCATAATTAACTGAATTATAAAATCATAATTATGAAAATTATTAGCCTACATAGTCAAAATTGAAGGGTCAAAATTATTATTTATAATGTCATAATTATGATGACATAACTGTCGAAATCAGCCGCGGCTCGTCTGTATGGGCAGGTGATACAAAATATGAATAGCCTGTGCCAGTGTCCGTGCCGGTGTCTGTGCTGGTGTCCGTGTCGTCACAAAAGTACCGACTCAGAGGCTCAGAGGAAGACCCCGATTTTTTTTTTTTTTTTTTTTTACCTTATCTTATTACAATAAACAATAAAAAAAAAATCCAACCAAGAAAGAGCGCAAGACCACGAGTGCCATTTAGGATAGGACCGAAGTGTGTCATGACAGAGAAAAGAGGGTGCAGACATAGAATATCTCCTTTGAACTTCTATTTTTGCAGTAGCTCTGTATGAGTTTAACCCTAACCCTAACCCTAATCCAAGAGTAACAAACGAGAGAGTTAACAAAAGTTATCATGAGCACTGTTAGAAGCGGGATGTCATAACAAATGTCAGTAAATCGAGAAGATTCTAAATCTTACCAGAAAGTGTGGGTGGTTGGGTTGAAAGTTAATTTAAAGAAAACCTTAGGATAGGCTAATAATGAAATAATAAATTCATATTGAAGGATTTTGGCCTATCCAGTCCAGATTTTCATTTGAATTTAGAACGGATTACAAGATTTTTGGATCAATACTTTATGTAGCCCCGCCCCTTTTCGGCGTTGCGCTCGTCAAAAGACAAGGAATGTCTTGCATAGGATTGAATGTACTGCTCGTAAAAAAAAAATTCCCAGTCGACAATTGTTAAGACATAACATGCTTTACAATGCTTATGATAAACATTACAATGCTCGTGATAACTTTTTTTAACTCTACAATAAGTAAATCCACTTCACCAGCTACTCCTCGACAGCTATGCCATACAGATCAACCATAAAAACGGAAGTTCAAAGACAATATTTAAAGATGACGGCGCCCACGTTTCTCTGGTGCATAAGGGCTGTAGCACTGTTGTACATCTCAACATTAGTCATGCATTAGCTGTAATGAATAGCAAACACCAACAGAGGGCGCTTTAGACACTGTTGAAAGCACTGCAGGATAAAACTTATTATTTGCTCTCAGATTAATCAGAAGTTAAATGCTTTGTGCTACACTTGTAGTAGCATGCATGCCAGTCAACGGACAACCCCCTACAGTACAATCTATGCTTATCCCTTGGATGATGACTTGCCCAATTAAGGCTGACCCCTCTAGCAGGGCCAGTGCTTTAATGTTCTAGATCCCAGGGTCAGGATCTAATCAAACTCCTCCCAATCTTCAGGTACAGACTCTCATGATGACTGACTCACCTCTTCCTACAATACTTTCATTATTTGTGTTTGCCTATTTGTGCCAATTTGATTGTTAAAAAACTAATTGTTTCTATGATGTTTGGTAGAGTGCACTTTTGTATGTATAAAAGCACTTATTTTCCTAGAAAATAACCTTTCTAAATCAGGCTATATGCTTGACTTCTGTTTAAGTCTTATGTACTACTTACTAAAAAGCACTTTTTGCAAGTCACTCTGAATAAGAGTTCATTAGACCAAATTAACTAGTTACAACTAAATTAAAGCCAAATGCCATTCTATACTGTACTGTAAATGGTACAAAGGTACAAAGTAATGAAAATGTATAACAAATCAATCCATTACATTTTTGTTTTCTTTTTCCTGAGATTTCTTTATATATATATATATATATATATAACCTTTAACATGTGTTTTGTGTATAGCCATCTTTAAGTTAAAAAATAAAAAAGCTATTTCTCATAATTGCGACTTTATATTTCAAATTGTGACTATGGCTGCGTCCGAAATCGCATACTCTCTTGAGTAGGTATGCCTACTACGTATTTTGAATAAGTAATTAGTATATGTGTGTGTGTGTGTGTGGGTGTGTGTGTGTGTGTGTGTAGTATGAATTGTAATCTGGTACTACATCTGCCATTTTGTCTTAATCATGTGACCTAGCGTCAGTTGTGTTGCATCATCAACATTCACAAAACCTCTCCCACATACTGTTTTCGCCTGCTATATAGTTGGGAAGAATGGGATTTTGGATGCAGCCTCAACTCAAAATTGCAATCTCTCATTGCACTTTACATGACATTTTTTTTCCCCTAGCTCTTGAGGCTGAAAGAGACTTTATCATACTTTCTTATGTGTCCTGAATTTTTTTTTTTTTTTAAAAAGGCACCGATCACATGCAGGTGAAAGTGTTTATTACTAAAGGCCCTGTGTCTCATTCATTATTATATTCAGTAAGTGCCTTTTCTGCCTGATCCACTATAGGCTGGGGAAATTCAATTCTGAAAATCCTAAAACCAGTGAGTGATAAGAAGAGCGATGTTTACAGTTCACTTTGTGTGCCCATTTAATGCTTGAGATTCCCATATCGATTTAGCGTGCTCTGATTGTGTGTGTTTTGTGGGCCAATCTATAAAATGCAACGTATAGGATGCCATTTCTGTGTAATTTGACAGTTTTTCAGAAACTGATTTCTGCAATGATTGCGGACCCCCATTCCACTCTGCTCTGTTATTCCTCCAGGCACTCCAAACGGGATTAGTATTGGCTCTGACTCAAGAGAATGTAAGATAAGTTGGAGATGATCTCATAGACCATCAAACATAAACACACAGCTTCATAAGCGAGAGAGGAAGCAAGCGAAAGGTTTAGAGAAGTGGAAGAAGCTAGATTTTTATTCAAAAGCCAGACACACACAATAAAAAAACAATCAGGATCAAGATAAAATAATAATAATCCAATTTCCACTTCCACCTGTTTCTGTGTGTTTTTAACAGACCACAGAAATCCAGAATTTTCGCCTGACAACAGATGCCTCGTTTGACAGGGTTTCCAATTGAGTGAATGAATGCAACTCAAGCTTCAATAACCCTAATAAAAATCTCAACTTGATTTTCTTTCTGGTGGGCTCAGGCGATGCATTATCGTAGCGTGTAATAAAACCCAGCGGTCACCCAGCTCGAATTCTAAAGTTGAATTGTCTACTGAAACACTAAAGAGGACGAAAGGCTTAATCATTGTGTGATTTTCCACTGAGATCGGGCCCTGTAAACGGAAGAGGCTGGAAAGAAGGTCCTCTGCTGTGGCTGTTTGAGAAATGACTGTGAATAAGTGTGTCATTATATTTATGTGAGTGGAAACCCCATAGAGATCAGCTGTGCCACTCGCTCTAGCATGGGTTCATTGTAATTGTCGATTGTGTCTCAATTCCTTTTCATTTTCTTATTTACTACGTTGTAGTAAGCAAAAGGGCTGTGTTCTGTATGATGTGCAAAGGGAGAGTTAGGGAATAAAAATTACGTCATTTTTAACTGTATTCACTGAAGTAATTTTCTCTGAGTTACATTTTTTTTTTTTTTTTACTATACCGATGTGATGTAATAAAGCTTTCATGAGCCTTCCAGAAAAGAATCAGGCACTCGTGTACAGCAATGAAATGCTTGCAATGTAATTGTTGCTTGCAGGGATTTTGAGAATACACAGTTAGGCTATTTTGAAAAGATGTTAATGGAGGCTTTTTCGAACTGCAAACACATTTATCCAGGCAAAATCTGCCACGAATCACTCTCAGTTGGCCCTGTTAAAGAGAGGACAGATGGAAAATAAATATCGGGACAAATGCTTATCAGTAACACTTCGAAAACAAAACGCAACATTACAGACAAATCATAGCCTTAATACTTTACCCAAATACTAAATACTGCCAAAGTCACTGTTGTCTTTAAAATTTCCATCCATCCATCTATCCATCCATCTTAAAGTCTATTCTCTAAGTATATAAAGAATATAAAGTAGTTCATTTAGACAGCAGCAATGAGCTAACATAATTGATCTATGGATAAAATATGGTTATCGTTTGAATTTGAATAATTAAAAGACAGCAATTCGAAAATATTACAACCCAAATTGTTTCTTTGAAATGTACTCACCAATTATGAGCTTTTGTTTACTGTTCTACTCTGCCATCATCCATCACGCACCTCACGCTGAGCCATCAATCAAAGGAAAGATGTTAATTTCCCTATAAGATTAGTGCCATTTTTGATCTTTCCCTCATACAATTCACAAATGTAGTCTCTCCTTAATCTTTGAACGTGAGTCAGACCAAAATGAGGTACTCTGAGTAAAAAAACGTCTTGTTTTTGTGCGAACATAGGCAAATGGTTGTGAGGTTGCTATGGTTTCCTTCATATGTAAGTGTTCATTCATGTGTATAAGTGAGATCAATTTATAAGGACATATGTGATCCGTGCTCAACCAGTGCAAAGATGGCATTAACGTGCTTTGTGAAAATCTCAAAGAGTCTCAAAGAGCAGCATGTAGCAGGACCCCCTATACCTTAGAGACATTGATGATTTTCAGGGATCAAGCAGACATATACAGTATGTTCTTCCTTTCGACACATGGCTAAGAGTAATGTTACATGATATATAAGTTCCCTGTCTACATTACCTAGTTAAAAGTTCAGTTCACAAATTTTAAAATGAACTAGTTCAGTTCATAGTTCACACTTCACAATTTTGCACAGACTAAAGCGTCCGTGC